GAGGTAGGGCATGTGTGTGATAGTATATGGGGTTGTTATACTGTTAGAGATCAATCTTTATTTTCTCCTGTCAAATATTTATTAGTTGTATTATTTACTGTTATGACTCTTTTTTAATAATGTACGGGTTGTCAGTCAGTTTTTTCTTTGTCATAGGAACTGTAGAATTTTAAGTTCAGACGTGAAATTTTCATTCTGGCACAATCAATACAAGAATTTGAATTCGGTTACCAGTTTCAGTATGTTGTGATATGAAGTTACGAACACTCTTATTTCAATCCGCAATCAATTCAATATTTGAAATTCGATTACAAAGTTGGGTATTTGATCACAACATTTTCGGAAAATGTTGTCTTGAAAAACAAGAGAGAGCTAAAGTTGGAAGAAAAATCTGGAAATTTTCATAATATCGTCTTGGCCAACAAGAGTCGAGAGAGAACAAAAGTTGGAAGACAATTTTTCAGAGGAATGACAAAATTTTATTAAGCTTGTGAATAAGTATATGATAAATTATAAATTGCCTAATATCTTCTTGTTCATATGTTTGTGCTTATTCTGAAGAATTTAAATCGATTTTTCTATAAAATAGCCTAATATTAATCTGGTTGACATGATAAGGTCCGTAAATTCTCAAACTCTTATAAACAACCTTCAATTGGTTAATATATGGTAGATTTTTTCCAAACATATAAGTGAACCTTAGTTAGATGTAGCAAACAATTATCATTAAAAAGAATATTTCAAACAAATGTTTAGCATACATAAATGTACGTCTTAATGAAAATCACAAAGTTGATCTCTTGCTTAATTCAATAATTCCAAACACTTTTGCACCGTGGGCCGACTGTGCATCGTATATGTGAATATTTATGATTTTATATATATAATAAAGTTGAACTAATGCGAAACATCTAATACCAAATAAAAGAAAATTGGTAGGTGATAATTTATATATATTGAAGATCGTTTATTTGTTAATCAGTAAAAAGTTACTATTCATATATTTCATGTTTCTCCCTTTTCTCAACTGATTTTTATATGATTATTATTAAATTAAAATTTTTTCATTACTACATATTGTTATTCATCCACTATATATATGTAATGTATATATTATAGTATTAATCGTTATTTTAGTATTTACTATAACATCATAATTGATTCTTACTTTTATAAATTAATTTATATTAGAAAATTATCAAGTTTTTCAACAAATTTCTCTCTGATAAAAAAAAATAAATAAATAAAAAATCACTTAATTAAAATTTATCTTACTTTTCGCTCCATTTTGTTAAGCTGGAATATACAATAGTATTTATTTTGAACTATTAGTACACAACACGTGTATATTACACGAGTGCTATTTAAAAAATTTGTATTAAAAATTTTAAAAAAAAAATAATGAATTTTATTTTGAATGTTAAGTATTTCTGACAAAATATTGCATCGTTATTTATAAGTGAAAAGTCACCTGACAATAGTAGGATTTACTCATCCTATATTACAATAATTTATCTGATTCATACTATATAATTGACTTGATACATTTATTTAACTGGTAATTGATTTTATTTTTATTAATATTGATTGATAATTTAATTTTTTTTATTGTAAATATACATATCCTTATTTATTTATATATACAATATGAATTTCAAATCTAATGTCATCAAAAGATGATTAATTTGATATTTATATTGATATATAAACACTGAAATTGACAAATAAGATTACAAACACAACGGAAGAGATTTCTCGTATTCCAAATCATGTTTCAGTATTTTACACATGGTTCTGTATTGTGCATATGTTATTCAGTGTTGGAACAAAAAAATTTTATGCCATATATAGTTGACACAAAAATAAAAATAAAATTAAAGTAATATTTAGTTTGAGAATTCCCAAGAAATACTGAAATACACAATACATGCCTAATGTAAATTTCTTGTTACTCCAACACAAATCATCTCACATTAACCCAACACAAATTTTCACATCACAATCCTTTATTACAATCAATTCAACAACCCTTCGTTAATCCCAAGAAACCCCCCATAATAATAATAATAATAATAATAATAATAATAATAATAATAATAATGGGGAAGGCCACAGTTCCGTTACAGTATGGTTCCTGGTGTTTTTAAACGTAGATTATATACACATCACAGATCCACATGTGTATCTACGGTTAAAAATACCTACGGAACCATACTGTAATGGGACTGTAGCCTTCTCCAATAATAATAATCAAGAACCGTTGGAAGGAAAAAGCTTGATAAAAAAGCACGAGTCCTTGGAGTCCCAACACAGGCCGATCACGTCCTCGGCCTTGACGCCACGCGCCCTCAGCACCTCCCCACACGTCAGCAGACAACTCCCGCTAGGCGTCATGTGGAAGTGGACGTGTTCGCCCTCGTACCTCATAGGATTCCTCTCGTCCGTCACGTCCCACACCACCACCGCCACCTTGCGGCCCCACACCGCGATGTTGGCCGCCATCACCAAATTCTAGTGTCGGAGCACGTGCTCGAACGTGTCCCCGAACGACACCACCATCTTGCCCGAGGCCACCTCGTGTTGGCTTATGACTTTCTTGATCCCCCATCGGCCAGCCTCCGACTGCGGCGGCTGATGCACGTCCCTTATCTCTACTAGCGTGCGGGGAAGGTGGGTCCCGCCCATCCCCTCCTCCTCCTTCGCCGGAAAGAAGTTGTAGAGATATGATTTTTTTAGGGTGGTGTAGGTTATCAAAGTCATGGTTAGTTTTTTTTTGGGTAGTTTGTGTGATTTGTGATTTATGACATTCTGAATTGTGTTTGGTAGTTATAGAGAGCTTGCGAGTCTGCTGTTTAGGAACATTCGATGTATACGGGTAAGTCAATTAGGATATGATAATACATGGATGATTAGGGTAATAAAGTTAAAAAGCTTGGTGCAATTTGCAAGGTCATGTAATTTTTGGCAAAGATAATGGCAATCATGGATGACTTTTTACTAGGCATACTAAAAATGCTCTTGTGGATGACTTTGCTAGGCTTACTTGAAATGCTCTTCTAGAGTGAGGTGACTACTTTTTTTATTTAATTTTTATTTTTTTCAATGGTAATGGCAATCATGAATGACTTTGCTAGGTTTACTAAAAAGGCTCGTTTAGAGTGGAGAGACTACAATAACTAATTTTCATTGCGAAAAAAGTTGAGGGATATTTGTTGTGGCGGCCTCTTCTGCTTAGATTTTTATGCATTTGTGGCCGTGGATTTTCATTTACTTAGATTCCTTCTTGGGCTCGGGTTGGTTGATGGTCGTGGGATACATTTAAGTGAAAAACACGCGGCAATGAGCGTATATTTTTTTTTTTTTTGAAAATAAATTATGTAGATGCATTCAACCAACGTCATTAACTCGATACATCAAGGAAAGAAGAGAAAAAAGACGACATAGAGTCTTTTCACATGAAAAGAATCCATTTCCCCTAAAACTCATTTGGCTAGGTTATGAGCGTATATTAGTTGTATAAGATTTTGTAGTTTTAGGTAATAAGTAGGGAAATTGTGTGATACGTTTGAATGGAAAACACGCGGGGATGAGTCGAGTATATGTTTATTAATATAGAAAATTGATGGTTCACTGGCGAGACAAATACATTGCAGTTATGTGCGTCTCCATGCTTTATCGCTTTCGCTTGTTCTCTGTGATGAGTCGTGACAAAATCCAATGGCGTTGGAAAAATTCTGAAACATAATAATTTCCTACCTCGATCGGTTATCTTTTACCCAAAACAAAGACAATGAATATGGATATATATCTAAACTCATTTATTCATCCATCAATTAAATTTATTCATCCATCAATTAAAAATTCACGCATGTCAATATTATCTCTTTTGTCCACTCACGATAGATTTCTTTTGATATTGTGGAAAATTGCATTTACAACGTTTAAAAAACTGCATCGTTTGAGTTATTGATAAATCATATGATTCTAAAATAATCCTCTTAATTAAATGATTTTTTGAAGATACGATAAAAAATATTTGGGTATATAGTTGGTTACTAAATGAATAAGAAATCACCTTGAATTGTTATTAATGTTGATAAATAAGATTATATTGTAACATTGTGATAATATCATAATAAAATTGAGTAAAAGAATAATAAATTCTATAAAAAAAACATGTAACAACAATTTATTTATTAAATTGTTGTTACATGTTTTTTTTTATAGAATTTATTTTATAGAATTTATTATTCTTTTGCTCACGTATTTATAACTATAAATCATTAATTTACTCTTTTTATTTTACATTGTAATTAGTTATTACTGTTTATATTTCATAATTTATAGCAATAGAACTACTAATAATTCATCCACTAATTTTCGTTATCCAATAAAAAAATTTCACTCAAATAAAACTTTATTCAATCCCACAGCAGATTTACTATGAACACATGCTTAAAATTTCCTAGTGCCAATAATATTATCTTTTTGGTAAATCAGAAATACATAATATCATTTTTATAATACTATATATATTATTGTAATATGACTTGATTATTTAGAGATCAAGCTCAATATGATTGCCAGTACAGATTTCCTCACTTGAATTCAAATCATTGTCATTCGTTATCCTGTCATCTACATGATAAGATTGATAAACTCCGTTACATTTTACCACTTAAAACCAATTTCTAAACAATTTTTCGCCAACAGCCACCAGTGTATATTGTAATGGTATGTATATGGTACGTGAGCGTGAATTGGTATGTGCATGATTGTACCTGTCTACCTGAATCCTGAAGTTGTGAAACCTTTATTAATACTAGTACATAGCCCGTGCGATGCACGGGGTGCACAATTTTAAGGTTATTTATCCAGGCTTATAATTATATACATGAATAAAGAAAAATGTATGGGATATATATAGTACGTGACCCGTGCGAAGCACGGGACATATTTATTTAGAAAATATTATATTATAAGATGCAATATTCAATAAAAATTTATAATACGCAAGAAAATTGTACAATGTTCAATAAAAGTTTTATAATATCAAGTGGAGTCTTAAAGTCTCTTGTACATTAAGACTACTGACAAAATAATATTTTAATTAATGAGTTTCCTTTCCTTGTAGCCAAATTGTGAATGTGATTTGAGGAGTACAACAAATCGATATATAACTGACTTGCTTTTTTCATTGTAGTTTTTTTTTTCTTATAATGAATTTAAAGATATTCTAAAATATAGCAAAAATTAATTTTTTTATTACAATTAGGAATTTTATTAAATATAGACTCTCAATCTATGGTGTTAATCAACGTTTAAGTCTAAAAAATTAGGAATTTTTACCACTTTTAATCAACGTTTAAGTCTAAAAAATAATAGAGTTATTATAAGTTTTTTTCTACATCTTTTAAGACATTAAATATGAGCATGTTAGGGCTAGCTTGTAAAATAATTAATATATTATCTCACTAAAATATTTATACTAATAAAAATTTAATTTTAGCATATAAATTTATCCCTTGATATAAGATAAAGTAACAGTTTTACTTATTGTTGTTAACCATATAATATTTAATATTATTTTATTATATAATAAAAATGGAATATTGTTAAATAGTGTAGTAGAATTGTTATAAAATTATATGATTTTTTTTTTACAATATGAATTAATAATTTTTGATGATTTGATAATATAAACAAATCTATACTTAAATTTGACAAATAAAACAAATAAATACTTTAGTAAGTATTTAATGTATATACTAAATAGGAATATATTTGGTATAATCAAATACCAAATATAATCAAATAAGTCAAAGTGTACATTTTTATTTGGTATTTGATTTTTTTATTATTAAAATCTTTTTATTATACTTACTTTTTTAAAATAAAACAAATAAATAAATAAAATATTATAATACTAAAATAGTGATGGTATTTAATGAAGTTGACTTTTCTGGATAGTAAATGTAGTAAATAGAATCTCCTTTTATATAAGTATAGATATAATATTATATTATGTCGCTCAAAATAGTAATGCATTTATTGCATTGACTTTTCAACTTAGTAAATGGTACACCTTATTATATAAGTATAGATTCTTAATTACTGTGCAACTTCTTAAAACGACACTTATTATAAATAGGAGGGAGTAGTATTTTACACTAGTCTTGTGTTTTTATTCACTCTTTTGGGTAATAGTATTTTACACTAGTTGGAGTTTAGATTATTAATTTTTAGTTTTTTAGGGTGTGCATGAATACAAATATATCCGCTCAAAACGAGTCTTTTTAGATAACCAAAGTTAATTTTTTTAAAAAAATGGTATAGTTAGTTGTTAATGAAATGTTGAGTTTTTATTAAAATAATATTTAAAATAAAATAATTAAAATTAATTTGATGTACATAAAAGGAGGAGAGAAATGACGCGAAGTGATTGTTAGTTGTGTAACAATGATTAATTGATATCAATTAATTATATTAATAATGTTGATGTTAATGTGACTAAGTTAAAGTTGAGTCAATTTTAAGTATGAATTGAAAAAGTTGATAACAAACACCGTCTTAGTGTTGTGGGTGCATCTACAATCATTTAGGGCATCTACATCCCTATTCATTCATTCAATCACAATTTACACTGTCTCTCATCAACCTCATGTCCACATCATCATTCCACCAAACATCTTTCCATTTAAACATTCCCCACATTCATATCCATTCATTTAAATACATATATATGGGACCCATTACACACATTTAATATTACTTTTTATTCTTTAAAGACATAGATATATTTTTTAATATTAAATTGGCTCTACTGCTACCAAAAAATGGCTTTAACGCCATTCATTGTATTGAATGACAGAGGTGGGTCCTAGACATTTTTCATTTTAATGAACGGCACACATTGGTTTAAACTTTAAACGCAACTTTACTCGTTTAAATGTCTCTATTGTCTTAGCGATGCGGATGCTCTTATATGTGTATGCCTCTATATGTATTCAAGTTGTAGCTGTTGCAGTGGATTAATTGATCGTTTATACATANCCTCCTCGATTGAAAACCCTAATATGGTACAAAAGAGTTTTTAACTCAATTAATGATGAATTTTAAATTAATCTTTAAAATTGATTGAGGGCTTTTAAAACCCATGGCGAGACGAACAAAATGAGGTATGATTTGTCGATTTCTAAAAATTGATACCTCTAAAATCGATCCACGAAGATAGCAGGAGCACGTGTGTATAGAAAAAATTTCAATTCAAGTTTTCTGATAATCAAGATATCCGATTTTCGATCGAGAGGTATCATTTGTAAGCTTGAAGGACGTGTTTTCTATCGAAGTAAATCTTATGAAAATCCAACGGTCGGATTTTGGTTAGTAACCTAAAAAAAAGCTAACTATTGATCCATAGTTTTCTAAATACTGATCAAAATTCGAACGTTGGATTTTCATAAGATTTACGTGTTAGAAAATTGGTCTTACTAGCTTTCAAATGACACCTCTCAATCGAAAATCGGATATTTTGATTGTCAGAAAACTTGAATTGAAATTTTTTCTATACACACGTGCTCCTACTATCTTCTTGGATCGATTATAGAAGTATCAATTTTCAGAATTCGACATATTATACCTCATTTTGTTCGTCTCGCCATGGGCTTTAAAAGCCTTAAATCAATTTTAAGATTAGTTTAAAATTCATCATTAATTGAGTTAAAAATTCTTTTGTGCCATATTAGGATTTTCAATCAAGTAGGCAAACTGTCAGTTTCGATTACATTGTAAAGCAAATTGTAAAAAAAAAAAAAATTATATGACAAAGTAAAAACAACGACGTAGGAGGTCAAAAAAGTTTATTACGCAGCCACTGAACTTGGTCAGTTTACTGAAAAGATAATTTTGTTAAATTTTTCCAATTTTCAATTATTGACAGTAACGCAACCCGAGACCCGTCCCTTCAATCTTTCATTACTCCATTTCCCATAAAAATCACCCCCATACAAACCACTTCTATTTCTTTCTGTTGGTTATTTTTCAAATTGATTGAATTTATACAACACCCTTTTGTCCTAATTTCCACCCTTGATCGTGAAAGATGAACGACGATGGCCTTCGCCTGGGTTCATTCGACGACGATTGCTGGTCTGAGTTATTTATCGATTACAGCGATCTCCTCAACGGCGCCGTCCCGCCGGCCGATCTCTATTGGGATCCTCAGCCGTCCACTCAAGAGTGAGTTTCCGTTTGGAATGTGTTTCTGTAATTGCTCGGGCCATTTATAGCATTTTTATTTTGTTTTATTTAGGGTTTACATTCTTACTTTTTTAGGTGCATGTGTTTTTGTTCCAGTTGAATGCTTTTTGTCTCTATTGTTCATCTCTATAAACTTAATTTTTCTATATGACGTTTGTTTCTTTGTGAAT